GGCCGGGCGGGGGCTTCCAGGCGGCCGGCTGGCGTAGGAGGAGGCGGGCTGAGCGGGAGGCAGCGTCCTGGCCCGCGGCCCGCCGTGCGGCGCTGGGGAAGCGGTGCTGTCCTCCGGGGCAGGGCAGCCAAATAAAGAATTCCTCTTCCGTTCTCGTGTTGCAGCTGACAGAACTCTTTTCACGGTGGTAATGTAGATAGCTATTATGTTAACCTTTACCCGTTCGATGTATGTGCTTGGATTGCATTCAGATGCCAGACTCTGGCTGTGCATGGTGGCTGTGACTGCAGGCGTGGCGGCTGGTGTGACCTTCAGCGTGCGAGAGTTCCTTCCTGCGTTAGAAGTACCCGTAATTGTATGGGCTCTCCTTCGAGGTTATGTCACTGCTCTTAGAAGGCAAAGCTTGGTGACACTTGAGTTGTGGTCCTGCTTATGCCTGGATTTGAGGGCAAGGAGATTTTGGCTTCTATATCAACTTTTTATTCACATTGTTACATTCTCATCAGCTGATTAAACTGTAGTAAGAGTATCTGTCAGTAAACGTCTTTTATTCTATCAGCCATCCTAGTGAAAAAGTGCTATGTGGAGTTGCATCCTTGTGTTTTATTTTTTTTTAATGCAGTCTTCAACTGTAGGCTGTGGCATACATGCCTTTTTTTTGGTTATGTTTTAGAGTTATTGTTGACTGATTGTGAGAGTCTGATGCAAATGCTTAATATACTATTAAATAACTTTTCACACAATGTTACAAGGCAACGTAATCAATTTTAGGTTTGCTTTCAGATCATAGAATCATAGAATGCTTTGTGTTGGAAGACACCTTTAAAGGCCATCTAGTCCATCCCCCCTGCAATGGGCAGGGATATCTACAACTAGATCAGGTTGCTCAGAGCCCCGTCCAGCCTGACCTTGAATGTTTCCAAGGATGGGGCATCTACCACCTCTCTGGGCAACCTGTTCCACTGTTTCACCACCCTCATTGTAAAAAATTTCTTCCTTATATCTAGTGTGAATCTACCCTCTTTTCTTTTAGTTTAAAACCACCTTGTCCTATCGCAACAGGCCCTGCTAAAAAGTTTGTCTCCATCTTTCCTATAAGTCCCCTTTAAGTACTGAAAGGCCGCAATAAGGTCTCCCCACAGCCTTCTCTTCTCCAGGCTGAACAGCCCCAACTGTCTCAGCCTTTCCTCATAGGAGAGGTGTTCCATCCCTCTGATCGTTTTTGTGGCCCTCCTCTGGACCCGCTCCAACAGGTCCATACTTGTTATCTTTCAAAAGATGTATTTCTGAGTAAAAATAGGTAGACTTCTTTTTAATTACACTTCTAACACTGAAGCTAAATTGAAAAAAAAATTGATTTCCAATACCTGAAATTTGTCAGCTCTCTGGTGATGATGTAATCTACTAGAACTGTATCAGTTTTCTGTTATGAGTATCTGAAAATGTGACTTAAAAGAATAGAGTGTTGGAAAATCACAGACTTTTCTAATGGTGGTTTGCCTCTAGTAGTGGGCTTGTTGGGATCGATATTGTGCAGTAGGAGTGGTACCTTTCACGAAGGATAAACGTGATTCATTGATGAGTTTTCCAAGAAGATATACAAATAGGATTTTCACAGAGACAGTTACAAAAGACATGACAGATCCTTTTATCTAGTTAGATTGCTAGTGATACTCTGGTGACTAAGTCCTATAGATCAGTCTGGTTTCTTCTAATAAATACAGAATTTTAACTGTTAAAATGCTGAGCAGTGGCTGGGGTATATATTAAGTAACTTAAACCACTTCCTTGGGTGAATTCAGCTATGCATCAACTGAAAGCATTAGTGATTTCAGTTAATTTAAATGCTATTGAAGTTCACTTCAAGTATACGTTATAGGGAACAAGCTTCAATTTTAAAAGAAGCCTCTACAACCTCTATAATGAAATATTAGCACAGCACTTGCTGCAAGAGCATGTATCGCATTTTTGTACTCTCTAACCAACAAATACTCAATTCATGACAGTTCTTTTTTTTTCTCTGAAACAAGAGATTGGTTCCCCTGTGATCATAACATTACTACGTGTATACGTTATTTCTTGCAGGTAGACTTTTTTCTTCTGAAAAAATTGTGCGTTTATGGAAGAGAATTAGGAATTAATAAAACTTGATGTGGGTATTTCATGTAGGTAGCGTTCATAGTTTCAGATGAAGTTAGACTTCAATTAAGCATATGCTATTTTTACACTGTGTGCTAAGGGTGATGTAGTCAACCTCCAAGCATGTAGGACTTGAAAAAAAAAAACCTTAACTATCAA